CAACTATGTAATCCCTGGACGGCCCTTGTATTTATTTATCAATCATGTCCAGTTCCTCAATCGCGAGTCGTCTTGTCCGCACTAGTACTGCGCACGTCTCTCTCGACATGCTGCGAAGCGTACAACCTCAAGATCGCACGTCCCGTGGTCTCTCTTATTGCCTACGTATAATCCACAAACCCGCGCAGGATGTATTGTAGATGATGTCCCCGGCGTAACTAGTAGTTCCCATCGGCACCTGCATCATGGCACACGCGCTCCTTTTCTTGTTAATGAGTTTACGTACTACTGCGACTCGCAGATAATCATATTAATATAGCTTCGTGCGCCACCCACCCAGTGCTATTGCTGGGCGGATTCTCCCTTTCTAGAACATCTTTCCTTCTCTCCTCAATGCAAACCAGTTACAAAGCAGTTCAAAGATTAATTAGATCCACTCCTGAATTCCCCTATGTCCCCCTTAGCTCAGTGGTAGAGCGCATCACTAGTAAGTATCAACCTTCCCGTGTTTGCTTATGATGAGGTCAGTCGTTCAAGTCGGCTAGGGGGAAGTACTCGGGGATTTCCTGTGAACCTTTTTTTTTTTGTCAAACTAGGGACCCGTCGAGCTCTCTGGCATGGGCCATTCAGTGGTTCTTGGAAACCACCTGTCTCTCCCTGCATGAGAAACCGCAGGTCTTCTCAATTCGCTTCAGGAATTCCATCATCGACGGTCGGGTCTCGGGCTCCGTTGAGTAAGGTCCAGCAAGGCGTGAGGTTGAGCTCCCGTCATCACGAAGTCGTCATCTATGACTCGCCCACATGTCCACCTATCTGCCCCAAAATGGGCTTGAACTTTTAGTCTTCACCGTCGGGGACCTCCACCTCTGGCGCAGTCCAACCCTCTGTGCCTCGATAACCTTCGACCTCATCGTTTTCGTCCTCCAATTCAACAGCAGTATCGAAATCGATGAGCTTGAGACATTGCGCCACCGAGTCGTACACCAGCTTAGAGGGCTTGACGTCCAAGTGGGCGATATGGAGTGAATGAATATGGCACAGACCGGCGACAAGATGCGCACGGAACACTGCCGCCCAGAACAAGGCGAGTGATGGTCTCGAGCTTCGGGAGAATAACCTCGGACTGAGCTTCAATCAGCTCGACGCGAGGCTTAACCACGCTCTGCAGCAAAGAGAGGATGTGAGGTTCATGAGACCCTTGGCGGATGTGCTTCGCGATGTATAAGATGCCCGGCTTATCTCTTCGCCACACGGTGCTGATATGGTCTGGTTCCTGCTCTGATACATCAATGATGAAGGAGGCTGAGCATCCCTAAGTTCTCTTGCTCTCCCCCACACTGACATCCCAATAGTCGTAAGATCGCGAAGAGTCTCAAGATTGAGTGGTGGTCAAGGTGAATGGTGTTGTTTGGATGAATGGTGGGAATCTGATGTCAGCATCCCTCCATTTTTGGAAGGTCAGTGTGGGGGAGAATTGGGCCAGCTGCTGACACTAAACCAACTTGATCAAGAGACACCATGCAATCATTGTCTTCACCGAAATCGACACTCGGGACGTCCTCTACGACGTATCCTTTATCCATCAGAGCGGTGATGCGCTGCTTGCCAAGATTCGCAAGGTCGCCGAATCCATAGGTGCCACTCTGTACCCAATCGACGCCAACGCGGACAAGCGCTCTGACTCGCTGCGTGAGGTCAGCCTGCGGTTAGACGATCTGCAGACGATTCTCTACAACACAGGTGCCAATGGTCGCACGGAGCTTCTCAGGCTCGGAGAGCACCTGCGCAGCTGGCAGGATGTTATTAGGAAGGAGAACTTGATTTACGAGACGCTCAACTTGTTCAACTACGACATGGGAAAGACCATCATTGCGGAGGGATGGGTGCCTACTCGCGATATCACAAACATCCAGCTTGCGTTGAGGCACGCGACTGTGCGTCCATTTATCCAAACTCCTGATGTCCACTGACCCCGCATTGCAGGAGGAATCTGGCACCAACATTTCGCCTATTCTGCAACAAACGCTGCGTTACCGTCGACGCCGCGTGCTTTCGATTACTTTTCTTCGAAACCGACACATGCGCGCACCCAGTCGTACCCTACCCAGAGACCCAAGTCCTTCCCCGCAGCTACGCCCCCCGCGTTCTGGTACGCACAGCCGCCCCACCCCACCAGCACACACACACGCGCGCGCGCACCACTAGGCTCCCCGCGCGACATCGACGACGACGCACATACCCAGCGCGTGTTCTTCGCGAGAGGGCGTTGGATGATTCGGCTGCTCTTACTCCTACTACTCCTACCGCTCCTATCTCTGTTACTCCTGCTCCTGGTGCCTCCGTGACGCTACCCTGACTACTGGTGCTAGGCGCCACCACCGAGGGTACGCCGGTGCGCCGGCGATGGCGATGGAGGACGCGGGTGTGAGGCGGACGCCGTCTGTTGGTAAGCGCGAGTTGGAAGTCGAAGTCGAGGATGGCAGCGACGTTGACGTGAGCGTTGATGTGGTAGACGTAGACGTGAATGCAGAGGAAGCAGAAGCAGAAGAGGTGGACGAAGTCGAGCTCGTCCTCCAACCCTAGCGGACTCCAGGGACTTCGAAGTCAAAGTCGAGGATACACCCGTCCCAGGGCGTTCACACGCTTTCCCGCCTCCGCCTCTCCCCTAATCCCACCCATCCCTATCCTACACTTACCTACAACCCCACCCGCACGACGACCACGAGAGCGAAGACAGCAGCGTAGAATCCACGCCCTCTCTCAGCAGCTCGCGCGACAGCTCACCCGGCCCGTCGCCTGCTGACCGGAGCCCTGAGTGGGCTGCGTCGGATATGCTCGGGCTTGGGCTCGGACTCGAGCTTGGGGAAGTGGCTGTAGGAGAGGAGGAGGGCGAGCGAAGACACGGCCACAGCCCGAGTACGGATTATCGGCAGTCCTTCAGTCGGTGAGTATTCTTTCTTATCTCTTTTTATTTGAAGGAAGGGTATTGATGATGGGTGGCTGTTTTGTGATTGTAGGTTCTGCTTCTTCACTGGCGCAGGCGCGGAGAACACGCATCATGCGGCGTACTACCCCTCATCGTCCGCGTCAGACTCGGACTCGGACTCGCACCACCACCACCACCATCATCATCATCATCATCGTCATTCACAGCAGCAGCAGCATCGACAACACAACCACCACCACCTCAATGGCCATAGCCATAACCAACACCTGCACGCGCGCGCACACACCTACCCACACATCACCAAGAAGTCTTTGCCTGCGCCTACGCCTGCCCAGGTGTACACAGCGCACCCTCCTGTCGGCGTTACCACCAGTGGGAGCTTAGATGATCACGAGAGCCCGAGGAGTGGGTCCGTCACCCCGCAGGGCACGTCGCCCATCGCGG